ACAAGAGCTGCAGTGGCCAGAACTGCGGATTCACTTGACAAACAGCTCGATGCTTTGACGGGAAGTCAGCAAGATGGGTATTCGGGAAGGACACCAAACGGGCCAAAAGCTCATGTGATCCTTCCTTGTGATCCGCTTTTATTTTCCTTGGCTTTTCTTCTGCCACTAACACGACATTCTCAGCCCTTGGTTTCCCTTCAGAGCTGTCCAGGTTACAGTCTCAATCTGCTCCTTTCCATCCTCTCGATGCAGAAACGATGACGTGAGTAAATAGCTGCTCCAAATTTGTAGGAAGTGTTCAGGGGCAGCAACTTATGTCCAAACAAGAGAATCAATCTACACAAGATGTGGCTTATAGAGGCAACAAAAATGTTATTTTTGTGCGCAACAAAAATAACAAATTATATTTGTAGAGCACTTTGCACGTTGGGAGGACGTCCCAAGGCGCTGGATAGTCAGGGACGCACATGTCAAAAATTGTTGTTTCAATTCGGGCTGGTGAAGAACCTTTTCGTTGCTACAAACTCTGTGTGGATAACCTCCTGTTATATAACAAAAAAAGAATCAACCGCTGGGGGGCGCTTTGATTCTGCCCTTCCCATGTTGACAGGTTTTTGGATTTGATGATTTTATCAAGAGCTAGAATAACAAACGTAACTCTGAAACCAATTACCCGGTACCTTTAGCCCTTGAAAGGTATCCACTGGACGCCACTGTCCCTTTTGATCAATTCACCCATGATATATACCAACCCCGGCACTCCCACCACCCGCTGCCTCCGCTCAACTGGCTCCTGTATGACCCTCGCCCCCTCCGCTCCACCGTCGGACTCCGCCACTGTCAAGCGCTCCGGGACGCTACCCCACGTGAAGGGCGCGATATAAATGCAAGCTGTTGTTTTAATACAAGGACAACACTGTACTGCAGTATCCAACTGATAGCCAAGAGTGCCCGTTGAACCACCCAACCCCCTCCCCCACCCCAGAAAAACACTTATACAAAATAAAGTGCCAAGTATTAAAGGTCAAATATTCAATCGCATTTGAAATTGCACTGGGCACAATGCCTGAATGTTATATGAGTGATCTTGGCTGATGTCTGACTGAGAGAATGCTGAATTCTGGCCCTGGTTAGCTTGGGCAGTGACCTTAGTGATTTTTTTTTCCTTCCCCATACTCTTTTCTCCCAACGGGATTGGAATCTATTTCCTCTGGTGGGGAATCCAGAACAAGGGGGCCTAATCCTAAAATTAGAGGTAGGCCATTTAGGAGCGAAATCAGGCGGCAGTTTTTTTTTACTGAAAGGCTCATGGAAATCTGGAACTCTCTCCTCAAAAAGGCTGTGAACGTTGGATCCGTTCACGTTTTCAAGACTGAGGTGGACAGATGTTTGTTAGGTCAGGGTATTGAGGGATACGGGGCAAGGACGGGTAATTGGAGTTGGGGTTCAGATGAACCATGGTCTTATAGAATGGCGTAACAGGCTCGGGGGCTGAATGACCAACTCCTGTTCCTACGTTCCTATGAATCCACAGACATCAGCATACTCCGGTGACTCACCCGAGTGTCAAAACAAAATATGTTGGGGCTGGGCTGGCAACAAAATAGGAATCCTTAAAATGTCATAAAGCGCTAACTCATAAAACTGCTAACTCAGTAAACTGCTGTCAAGCAGTTCCGTATTTATAGACAAACGTAGCTGCCGGTTTGCGCAAGGCAAGTTCCCGCATGTAGTGAAAGGCAATGTATTATTTACAGAGGATTGGTGGCCAGGACAACATGAGAAACTCTCCCTTCTCTTTTTCAAATGAGATGGCTCGTGGGATCTTCATCATCCCGCTGAACAGGAAAAAGAGGGCCTTGGTTTAACATCTTGTCCGAATGTGATCCGAAAAGAGCAGCAAGACAGGGCGTCCACAAAGTCCTGTTACCCTCCTGTTACAAAACAGAGATTTTAGACTACTGAGGAGCTGAAACAAATTGTCACGAGACACATTTCATCTCCTCATTCCATCCATGTTACAGAAAATGTGGCACCGAACATGGGGACTGATCATTATCTGCCATGAAAATGATGGCACTCACCATCTCTAGAGGTGTTTGGGACGTCCTCCAGACGTGAAAGATGCTTTATATAAATGTAATTTTGTTGTTGTTGTCTAAATACAGTTAATTGACTGTATATATTGTGGGTGAAACACGACAGCCAATTGAGCACAGTGGCATCCCACAAACAGTCGTGGATTGAGTGACCAAATTATTTTTATTTATTTTGAAGGAATTATTACCCCTGGAAAAGCGATCCACCAATCGACTAACAACCAGGTTCTTACTTATTGTTGGGTAAACAGAGCCGTGTGGAGTAAGGAAACTTGCGGAATGTTTTGCCTTGCCCGGGAATCAAACCCAAGTCTCCTTGCTTGCGAGGAGAGTGCTCTAACCATTAAGTTACAAGTTGAGTTCCCTCTCTATTTCCTTATCTAGTATTTCCTGCAGAAATGTATGAGATCATTAATCCTGCAAGAGAAACACAGAGAGTTCTGGATTGTCCCCTCCCCAGTGACGTTGATAAAGCTTATATAGGAGAGAGATACCCTGATTCAATTGCCAGACAGTAATGTAATGTAATCTTATTTCACTCTTGTGGTATTTAATTACCTGTACCCCGCAATTAGGCTTTCAATCACTCCTTGGGTATCAATTATTCCTGATATTATGCTCTGAAGCACAACCTTCTACCCACCTTCTTTCATGCCAGAGGGTTTCAGATGCTCCAAAGCTCAGTAGTCTTTTGCACACTACATACAGGATATTGAAGCCCATTTAAAGCAACTCACTCATTCGCTCGCTGTGCGGCTCTCGGTCTTTGTTGAGCTGCCTTCATTTGGTGCGCTACTTATTCACAAAATGCCATGCAGGTGCTTGTGTCTAGTGACTGTATTACGCATGAAAATTATAGTGCAGGCCTGAAAATGTGGAGGTTGCCCGGGTGACATATTCATAACTATATATAGGACCTGTGACGCACTTGAAAAAAACAAAGATGAGGCAAGTTCTGGAATGAAATCCTAATTGCCAATTTCAGTACAAACACCCGGCTAACTGAAACACATGGTGATGTGACTCTGCCTTTGAACGGATCGGGTTCAAGATCCTCATGCCCGTGTTCAAACACCCTTCACTCTCTGGCTCCTCCCTACCTCTCCACCCTCCTCACTCCCAAATACACCACTCGACAACTCCAGTCGAGGCGCCGGCCTCCTGCTCATCCCTCGCACCCTCCGCCCCACCATCGGAGGTCGTGCTTTCAGCCACTATGCCCCGAAACTCTGGAACACTCTCCCTCAATCCTTGCCCCCTCTCGCCCCCTTTTCAAGTACCGCCTGAAAACCTTCCTTTTTGACCGAGCTTGCGGCCACCTCCCCCTCTCCCCGCCCCTCCCCCCAGCTCGGAGTTAGGCTCCGCCACTATTAAGGTCAAGGCTGGACTATGGGAACTCTCTCCTCGCCGGCCTTCCCGCCACCTCCCTCCACAAGCTGAAGGTCATTCAGAACTCTGCAGCTCGTGTACTGTCCCGCACCAGGCTTCGGGACCACATCACTCCCACCCTCGCTCGCCTCCACTGGCTCCCCATCCCCCAGAGGATTGATTTCAAGATCCTCATCCTCACCTACAAGGCCATTCACGGCCTCGCTCCCTCCTACCTCTCCAACCTACTATCCCCCTACCTACCTGCCCGTACCCTCCGTTCCTCTGGCTCCGGTCTGCTCCACATCCCCCGCCCCAACCGCACTACCATCGGTGGTCGGGCCTTCAGCCTCTCAGCCCGAGGCTCTGGAACTCTATCCCCCAGTGCCTTCGCCGCTTCCTCCCTCTCCTCCTTCAAGGCCGGTCTCAAGACCTTTCTCTTTGACCGAGCCTTCAGCTCCCCTCTCGACTCTCTTCCCCCTCCTCGCTCCCTCCCTTCCCTCCCCTCACCCTGACCATTTCCCCCCTCCTCGCTCCCTCCCTTCCCTCCCCTCACCCTGACCATTTCCCCCCTGCTCGGGTCATGACCCAACTGTGCAGCGCCTTGGGACGTCCTCCTGACGTGAAAGGCACTTTATAAATGGAATCTTGTTGTTGTTGTTGTTGTAAGCGCTCTGAGACGCTACCCTGCATGGAGGGCGCAAGTTGTTGTTGTTGTTGCTGCTCTGTTTGATAATTTTATTGAATCATAGTCATAAAAGGTTTACACCATAAAGGAGGCTGTTCAGTCTTGTGTCTTTCCACTGGAGCTCTCTACTCTTAATTCCCTGCTGTCTCCCCCATTGTGAATTAGCTGGTGCTCACTCCCCACTAGATCTCTCTACCCTAATCCCATTCCCTGCTTTATCCTCCTACCCTTTAAGATTATTTATGCAAATCCCCTTTAAATGCTATTATGGTCTCAGCTCCAACAGCCAGTAAAATATTTTATATTCCAACAACCCTCTGTGTAAAATAATTGATTCTAACCTCCTCCTTTATTCCCCATCTGATAATCTTTAATTTATGTCCTCCTGCTCATTCAGTCGCAGATCAATTGAAAAGGTTTCTTTATTCACTGCATCAAAAACATCCAGAATTTAGAAAGCTTCCACCCTATCCTTTAACTTTCTCTGCTCCAGGGAAAGAAGACAGCTATTTTTGGGGAAGTTAGGTAGGTACTGGGTGAATGACAGGATGGACCATAGAATCATACAGCACAGGTGGAGGCCAATCGCCCCATCGTGTCTGTGCAGGCTCTTTGAAAGAGCTATCCAATAAGTCCCACTGCCCCATTCTTTCCCCATAGCCCTACAAATGTTTCCTTGTCAAGTATATATCCAATTACCATTTGAAAATTATTATTGAATCTGCTTACACTACCCTTTCAGGCAGTGCATTCCAGATCGCAACAACCAATTATTTGATACCAATGGTTTTACAGGGTCACTATGATGTGACGCAGATGATCTAGGCGAGAAGGGGCGCTCTTACCTGTGTCTTGGTGAGTAAGGTAGTCAGGTGATCGGGTCTGAAGAAGGTGAAATCAATGAGAGCCTGGAAGAGAGCGATGGCTTTTTCTGAGTGGCCACTCTGACGGAGGTAGTGGCATTGCTGTAAGAAGATTCCTGGCAAAATGAGGAGGGAGTGGTTATAAACAAACACAGTGGGTTTATGATCAAGCGAAGCAGAAAGTTCTCTAGACACAGCTCCAGAGATGAATAATAATTATAATTAGCCTTGAATTTGATATAGCGCCCATCATGTCGGGAGGACATCTTGAAGCAGTTCACAGGATTTACTGTAAAGCAGTGGCAGCCAATCTTTATGGTTGTTCAACAAAATACATTTTCTTGATTGAATATTTCTTGATTTATGCCATAAATGTATGGCTTTAGGAAGAGCTTTGCGACCCTGTCCGGCATACAGGGCGCTATATAAATGCAGGTGGTAGTGGTGGTGGTTGTTGTTGTAAATCTAGAAATATTCAATCAAGGAAAGGCTACCGGCCGAACACAGACTTACCAAGGCTCATGTGAACGTTCAGGGTAGGGGGAATAGGGAGGGGGCTTCTTGACAGGCCTATGGGCCTCAAGTTGGCCACCACTGCTGTAAAGTATGGTCAATGTGAAATGTGTAGGCGATCACAAGTGCTTACAAAGAAAAAGGCACGTATGTACTGGTTGAAAATCCCTGGCTCTTACCCAGCATGGCTTCTTCAGTATCGGGCAGGGTGGGGTGAGACACCAGGGTGCCATCCAGGGAGGCCGCTAAGGTGGTCAGACATTTGCCATAGATGCCATTGACCTTGGACACTGAGAAGGTGCTGAACTGGCCCTGACAGAACAGCAGGTACCTCTGCCACAGGCTGGCGTCATTGGGATGAAGGAAAACCACTTTCTTCCACTCGTTCACCAGACTGGCCGGCTCCCAAAATTCCTGGCAGATCACTAGCCGAGCCACCTTGAGCTCCACGCTGCCAGGGTTACTCTCGATCGCCCTGTCCAAGATAGCCAGCTTCTTCTCCAGGAGAACTCGCACGGACCTCTTCCTTTTCTCGGTGTCGGCTGCACACATTTGGTACGGACTTGGTCCCTTCAGCAATTCATCCTAAGGGGAGGGCAAGGCATTAGAATTTTATAGCACAGATAATAATGATGAAGAAATAGCACCTTATCATATCGTTGAGACGACTCAAAGCGCTTCACAGAGTATATTGTAAAGTGGATTAACTGTGTATTTTGTGGGCGAAACACGACAGCCTATTTCGCCCAGATGGAGACCATTCAGGCGACATCTCTGAGGGAGCTATCCATTCAGTCCCACCCCTCTTTCCTTTCTTCCCTTTCACACATCTTTACAATGTTTGTTATAAATAAGTAATAATAATTTGGTGACTCGCGCCACGGGTGTTTGTGGGACGCTGCTGTGCGCAATTGGTTGCCGCGTTTTGACCACAAAATAGTCAATTCACTTTACGGTATATTCTGTGAAGCGCATTGAGACATCTCAGAGATGTGATAAGGCATTCTATCAAATGCAAGCATTATTATTATTATTTCAAAATATGTATCCAAATCCCTTTAAAAAGGTACTATTCTGCTTCATCAGTTGTAGTGATAGGGCATTCCATTTCCCATCCCTTTATTTATTTGGTAACCTTAAATTTATGCCCTCTCACTAACCAGCGAAAATCTTTTTCTCTAATTTACCACAATGAAACCACCGCAAAATCATGAACACCTCAATCATGTCTCCTCTCAATCTTAGCTCCTCTATTGAAAACAATCCCAATTTCTCTACTCTCTCTCTATAACAAAAAGCCTCTCACAGTCGTGAGATCATCGCAGTATCATTGAACGAAATTATCAAGGCATAAAATGCTTCCCTCGTCTGCAAGAGGTTTTTGTATTCCTTCACGACTTAATTTCTAGTTCACCATCAAACACATCAACACTGGACACAAAGACTGAATCAGAAGCACAGGGTTGTCACAACATGCAATCCTTGGTGCTATCATTAAATATAATACCCTCTCATTTCTTTGTGCAACACCTATTCATTTTTACAGGCAAGGAGGGAGCTTTCAAGTCTATTTAAGAGCTCCAAACACACTTTGATATCTTTCTAAAATGATATTTCTCCTCTGGGGGCTTTCATCTCAGTACGTTATCATCATTGCTGGTTAAGTTAGGGTAAATGCACTTTGGGTTTATTCACAGGCTATCACTAATGTCACTCACTCCCCCACTGGAGCTCTCCACTCTAACCCGATTCCCTACTCTCTCCCCATCATGTCTGCGCTAGTGCTCGCTCCCCCACTGGAGTCCATACAGGGGACAATGTGAAACCAGACAGACTACATGATGAATGCAAATACTAATTTTATAAGGCATAAGAGGAACCTTTGTCTGCTTTTTCCCTTGAGCTGGATTGAATCACATCTCAAGAAAAACTAAGAGATTAATACATTCCTTGGAAGTGGCTGCTAATCCTTTAATCTTTACATGGTTAAGAAAAACACCTCCAGTTTCACACCTCCAGTTTGTCAACAACTCACTTTTAACCGCTTAAGAGCTTCAGCACAGAGCTATTGGCCCAAAATAGCCTCTTAGAATAATAACAATTATAATTATAATAATAATCCTTGCATTTGATATAACAACAACTTGAATTTATATAATTCCCTTCACGGGTCCTGGAGCTATAAAGCCTTATCATGTCGTCAAGAAATCTCAAAGAGCTTCACAGAATATATTGTAAAATGAATTGACTGTTTATTTTTGGGCTGAAATGCGGCAGCCAGTTGCGCAATGTCCTACAAACAGTTGTGGATTGAGTGAGCAAATTATTAATATCGGAAAAGCGATCTACCAATCAACCAACAACCCAGTTCCTACTTAATGCTAGGTAAACAGGCGTGAGGAAACTTGCCCAATGTTTGGCCCTGCCAGGGGATCGAACCCAAGTCTTCTCGCTTGCGAGGCGAGTGCTCTGACCGCTAAACTACAGGACTATTCTGTGCTGTAAACTTTCTAAGTTACTCTATTTATCACTTAGAGCAAACATTACAATTACATACACACCAAAATCCCCTTTATATGCGGAACCCAACCTTTGATATACATTGTGGAGAAACTCTATTTAAGAGTGTCACAGAGCCGCCCACCTGAAAGTGCACAAACTCCATCCAGGTTTGGATGTCCGCGGGGTTTTCTCTCAGCGTCCGATTGAACCTCTCGACTTTTGTCATTGCAGCCAAGCCTGTATTCTCACTGTTCTCTGGGGGCCCCTGGTCTTTTTCTGTGTGCTCTAGCTGCCCCTTCCCCTGTAGCCACAGGGTGGTGGAAGCATCATAAACGCCCAGTGGATTGACCAATGCACAAGTGCCCTGGTTTTTGCCATCAGCCTCTTCCCAGTCTGGCACTGGTATGAAGGAGCTGCAACTTGGTGCTAACTTTGTCTCTCCTGATGAACCGTCTCTTCTACAAACAGAAACCGTGTCTGTGCTCAGTAGTTGAAGCCCAGATTTGCTGTAGTATCGATAGTCTTTTTTCTGTGCTTTTTCTTCTTTCTGGATGAATCTCCCCAAATAATACGGTGCTTCCTAGCATCTAGACCAAGGCACTCATCTCCTTTCCTCTTGTATCTGGAATACATAATGGGAATATAAATTGGTTCAGGGAAAAAGCAGGAGAATGAGATTAGAGTAGAGAGCTCCAGTGGGGGAGCGACAACCAGCACAAATGTGATGGGGAAAGAGCAGGGGATTGGGATTAATGGGGGAGCGAGCTTCAGCACAGAGACAATGGGTCACAACAGCCTCCTCTGTGCTGTAAACTTTCTAAGAAACTCTATTTAACAGTTAGAACAAACAGTAGAATTACATAACACCCAAATCCCCTTTATATGCCAAACCCAATTTTTCATCTACATTATAAACTGTAACATTCATGACAAATATTTGCCAGTAGGTGTTAAATATAAATTCTATTTAACCCTTAGACCAAACAGTACAAATACATAACATCCAAATCTCTTTATATACACTAAACCCAATCTTTGATATGCATTATAAAGTGTAACATTCAGAATAAATATATGGACCTATTGGTGAATTTTGCTGACAGCAATGGATTTGCTATGGTTATGGTTTGTTACAGACTGATTACGCAGTTTGTTTTCTCCCCCGACCCGCGCCCCCCCCACCATTTATATTGACATGCCCTCAACTGAACCTGTGCTAGAACAGTGCAAGGAGCTCTGTGGCTTGGCACAGCATGGAATATGCTTCTCAGGTAACCCTATCCGAGTGTCAGGCTGGGTCAGTCTGTAGTGCTCGCGGCTCTGGCTTAGAAAGCTGTGGTGTCAAGCCCCGTGACGAGAATTTGGACTCACAGGCTAATGCTGCAGCGCAGTGTGGTATGAGTGAGTGTCAGTGAGCTGTAGTTTAGACCAATACCTTGCCAAGTCTCCGCGATACAGAGATTTGTATTCCCAGTTGGCAGGATCGGCCTTTTTATCGATACAGAAGGTCTGTGTCGTCTGAGACTGGAGGTCATCCAGCCACATAAAATGACCACAGTCAATAACTGCACCAGCCTCGCGTCTGAAAACCAAAAATACAGTGCATTAGACCCATAAGTTTTAATCAGGGACCGCAGAGAATTAATAATAATAATCCTTGCATTTGATTTAATAATAAATAATAATCCTTGCATTTGATATAACGCTTTTAATAATAATAATAATCCTTGCATTTGATATAGCGCTTTTCACATCGGGAGGACGTCCCAAAGCACTTCACAGAACACACTGTAAAGTGAATTGACTGTATATTTTGTGGATGAAACGCGGCAGCCAATTGCGCACAGGGGTGTCCCACAAACACTCGTGGATTGAGTGACCAAATTATTATTACTTTTTAAAATGTATTTATCTTGAAGGAATTATTACCGTCGGAAAAATGATCCGCCAATCGACTAGCAACCGGGTTCCTACTTATTACGAGGTAAACAGAGGCGAGTGGATTAAGGAAACTTGCCAACATTTCGCCCTACCCGGGAATTAAACCCAGGTCCTCTTGCTTGCGAGGTGAGTGCTCTAACCGCTAAGTTGCTGGGCTTCATGTGTGACTTTAAGGAGCACAAAACCATACACTTTTCTTCCGAGGACTAGAGAACCTTTCTTTTAGGTTTAAAATGCTAATAACTTGGGAGTCCCACCAATGATTCAGCTGATAATGAGCCGAGCAGACTCAATATTCTCAGATCTCAGCTGATTTAGCCATTAGCTGCCAGTAACAGCAACCGCACTGAAAGTGACTTCAGAGACCCTGGGCTGAAAATTCCCCGAGGTTCCTCCTCCTGATCGCAGCCTATTAACCTCTATTAGAAAGGATGCGTGGGTGATTGATGAGAACAAAATTAGGGCCTTACAGTCATTGGACATTGGCATACATAATTGTATGGGCCAACAAAATGGCCATAAAGGCAAGGTATCCAAGGCAGAATGTCCCAGTGGAATCCTGTAACTGATATACTTTTTGCAAAACGTCGCATAAAGTATATCTGTACAAGGACTAAGGATTGGAAGACATTTAAATACGTAGTTGTAATACTGCTGACAGGCCGCATTGGAACAGCAGACCAAGATGTATTAAGGCTGATGGCACTCGAGCTGACTAGGGAAGATTCTGTGTTGCTCACAGCTGTATTAGTAACCAGTCAACCATAGTAAAATAGATACAGGAAATGTAATGAGGGTAAAATACACTCCCTGCCCTTCACTCTTCCTGATACCAAGCCCCAGCTCGGGTACAAATATTTGACTGTCCAGTGCCTTGAGACATCCTCCCGATGTGAAAGGCACTATACAGATGTAATTTGTCGCTGGTTGAAGAGAAGTTTCGCCAATCAACATGGTAGATATGGTAGAATCAAGCAGGAGGACATTTTACAGGTTTTGCCGCAAAGTAATATAGCCAACTACTGGATAACAAAAAAAGCGTTCAATGCGTTTAAAAACTTCAAATTAAAGATAAAAAGATTCCTGGAACAGGCAATTATGGCCGGCATGCAATCCTCAAAGCAACTATTTGAAGATAAAAGATTATCTGAAGAATTTGCTTTAGAACTAAACTCCTTTGAGTGAATACTTGATGAGAGGCAATAGCTCCCTCGGAGCATCCAAAGGCAATGGATGTCCCTTCCCAACGTTAGGCAGCATTCTCACGGGGACAAGAGAGACTAAAAATGCTACAGGGCTTTTTAAAAAAAACCTTACCACAACAATCTGTATTTATATTGCACAATTCATGTTGGGCAGAGTTTCGGAGAGCTTAAGCAAGTACTTAGAGCAAGTACAAATCTGCTGAAACAATCCAGACCAATGTAGCTGACAAGGACTCACACAGCTCATTGTGTTTAGGTCTTTGATAAAGCTTACTTCCTTAAACAGCTAACTCCCAGTATTGGGAGTTTGTTGTTTAAGTGCTCTGGCATACTATCCTATGTGAGGGGCGCTATATAAATGCTAGTTGTTGTTGGTTAGTGCGACTGAATCCTGAATATCTCCCCAGTGTTAGCCCGTGAGACCATTTATTCTTAAAATTTAAGGTTGTGCAGAACTTTTTGAAAATTCTTAAAATTCAGCGATTTTTTTTAATGGGGGGAAAAAAAGAGCCAATTGAAGAATTTTCACAATTCCACCCAGAATTAAATCTTAAAATAAAATGGTCTTACAGGTGGACCTTCGTGTCCCTGAGTTAGCCCGACCTTTCTCAAACAACAACGACAAAGAACATTTGTATAACGCCTTTCACGTCGGGAAGATGTCCCAAGGCGCAGAAAAATTTGGATCAGCCTTTGTGGTTTTTCAAACAACTGCGGAATGCTTCAGGATTAAACCAGCTCTGCACACTGCAATGCAAAGTCAACCTGCAAACCAGACACAGAGCAGAAACACATCTTGAGGAGAGGAAAGGGATCGGGGGCGGGGTGGGTATTGCTTCCAATCCAACAATAGTCTGTATCTAATAACGGTGGGTGATTAGGAACAAACAATTCACGTCAGATGGAATCAGTTCTCAAGTGAAATAAAAGGTATTAAGTTACTTGTCCGCTTCAGGTTGCTTCTCTGTGTCCCGCAGGACGTGAGGCTCAGAGTCAGTGCTCTCACTGACTCCCCGACCTCTCTTTTTATCCTTTTTGTGGTGTCGATGTTTCTTTTTCTTCTTCCTCTTCTTGCCCCTCGTGCCGTCTCCGTCCTGCTCCTGCTCCGACCATTTTGCCGGCAATTTCTCAGCTGGTGCAGCCTCCGAGAAAACACTGAAACCGAAGATCAGCAAAAAGAATCACTAACTTGATGTAAAAGGCAGCGTTCGGTTTAGCAGCACCGTAATTCACCTGGCATAACTACAGGGTTACTTTGTCAATACGCATTTGGAAAGCAAAATACTGTTATAAAACACATAATGCGGACTAATGTGTTGTGATTTCTAACTGAGTTCCTTCTTCAAAGGGGATTTGACTGGTAATTGGAACACTGGCCACACACACCACAGGATTGTCACTCCACCTTTTTACACTCAAGTGTCAAGTGGAATGTGACTGCTTTGAACTTGCACTTGTATAGCAAGTGGTAAACGAAATGACAACTTTTGTAGGCAAATCTCTTCTCAGTGTCGACTCCCCCATGAACAGGAACTCACTGTAGAGGGAAACACAGTCAGGAACATAGAAGGCGTTTCAAAAATGTCAATGTAAAAAACAAATGACTGCAACAACAACAAAAACAACAACAAAATGACATTTGAATAGTGCCTTTCACGTCAGGAGGACGTCCCGAGGCGCTGGACAATCAGTGTTTCTGACCCGACTTGGGGGTCGGGTTTGGGAAGGGTGGGAGAAGGAGGGAGGTCGAAAGCACGGTCGAAGAGGAGGGTCTTGAGACGGGTCTTGAAGGCGGCAAGGGAGGGGTGAGGCAAAGGGACTGCAGGATGGAGTTCCAGAGGGTGGGGGGACAGAGTGGCGTGGCTGAAGGCCCGCCCGCCAATAGTGGGAGGGGGGGGCAAGGCGGGGGACGTGAAGCAGGCCAGAGTCCGCTGAGCGGACAGTGTGGCAGGTTTGTAGGGGGTTAGGAGGTCGCAGAGGTAGGAAGGGGCAAAGCCAGGAAGGGCTTTGAAGGTGAGGACCAGGATCTTGAACTATATCCTCTCTGAGATGGACAACCAGTGGAGACTAAGAGCCCTTTGGATGGAAGATACAATACATAAAGGTTTACTGGCATTTTCTGAGTAGGCGTTTTCTGTACTGAGTCAGAAGACTGCAGAGCAGCTGCAGTACAAACGATGGTTTAACTGTGGCAACTGTGCCACTGCTTTGGGGGTTTTGTATCTAATATCGCTGATCACATATTAGGCCGTTGAAAGGAATGTATTATATGTATAATGGACTCGAGAGACAAGAAGGAGCATTTCTGAAGAGAGGTTGATTGCGAAAATGATGAGAATGTGGAGCAGGGCTGATAATTAAAGAGAGATGGGCACCTTTTCCTGTCCTTAAACAATCTGCTCTTGTGCCACTCCATACACAGCACCAACCTCCAGCACCTAATACAGTAGAGAGCCTGGGGTCTGTGTGAGTGTGTGCGTGTCATGTTTTGCATGTGTATTTTGTAAGCAAATATGGCAGCCAATTTCCATACTCCCACTTCCCACAATGACAATTTACTTTTATATTTTGTCTTCTTAAATTTCACCCAACTGACTGGTACTCAAGCTGGAGCGGGGAGGAGAAAGTCAGGCAAACCCCAAGCATGGTCGAAAAGGTCACAAGCAGCCATGAAGGAATGAGCAATTTATCTTGAAGGTCGTTAATCAGGACTGGGACTGGGAGAAACTCAAAGAATAGTGCCAAAGGATCTTTAACGTCTTGCTTAAAAGCAAAGCTTGGTTGGCTGATAAGTATAAAGTTAATTCTTTTTCTCTTGGAAAAAATAGCAAAACTGCGGGAATAAAAAAAAAGCACATCTGCTCTCTTTCTCTACCCATCTCCTTCCACCGCCACCGCCCCCCACCCCATCCTACCCTACCCTAACCCCACCCTTGAGTGCCTAGCCAGTAAGGAATAAGAGTCATTGGGCACAGCAAAGGTTTATTGACTCAAAACTGGCAAGGGTGCACAAGCGACCAGTAACGGACGGATCTAAGAGTGCTGAGTTTCTCTCGATGCTGCAGTATTGGCAAGCGAGTGGATAGCTCTGAGTGGAAGAAGAAGGGAAAGATTAACAGCTTGTGTTTTTTTTTAGAAACACAACAAGATTAACTTGAACACAGAACTCTCTTCCACTCATCCCCCACCCCAAGAAACCAGATGCAGGCATGGGATGGGGAGGTAAATATCAGTATTCTCCCAGGAAAATAAACAGCTATTTGTACGATGTTTCCTTTCTTCTTCTTCAAATGCATGTTGTTCCAGGACAAAAGGCACAATCTTAAAATTAATGGTAAGCCACTTAATGCTGACCCCAGAACACATTTGTTCCCGCAAAGTGTTGTGCGAATGTGGAATGCATTGCTCCAGGGAAAGCCACAGATACAGCATCAATAAGACGTTTTTAAAGGAGTTACCTACTTCATGTGAATAAATAATAATCCTCCTGTTTGAGCGAGCATCCCAAGGACGACTCAAAGTGCTTTATAGGATTTATTTCCAAGTGTAGTCACTATATTTCACAGTTGAATGTGGCAGCCAATCTGCGCACAAAGATGTCCTACAAACAGCCATGAAGGGAATGACCAGTTTTATCTGGGGGGTTATTAGGTTTAGTTTAACATCCCACCTGAAAGACAGCACCTCCAAAAATACAACCCACCACCCCAGGACTTCATTGGAGTGTCAACCTCGACTATAAATTCAAAGTCCCAACAGTGAGGCTTGAATTCCCTTCATATGAAGGGTTATGAAGAGGTCAGAAAAATTAAATCAAAAAGAATAAACGCTGCCATGAACTAAAACTGACCGAGCTGGCTCCATAGGACAAATGCTCTTCTCCGGTGTTCAGGGAACGCAAGATTCAGGTAATTTTACCAACTTGGCTAAGATTTAACAGCATCGAGATTATGATTCTCATCTCAAAAAAACCAAAGGAGAACCATCTACTCTTCAGATTCTGAAGTTCCAAATTATAAACAAAAGGAAACCTGGCTTTGCTATCAGCTGCAGTCTGTTCAGAATCATATAAATTGGGACTTCGCTATGCAAGAAATGGCTGCCATGAAATTGACCTGACACTATTATCCATTTTTGAAAATAAAAACAATACATAATAAGTAAGTATTAATCCTTGAATTTGATATAGTGCCTTATCAGGTCGGTGAGGCATAGAAACACTAGTAGCCTGTCATGCCTGATCCGCCATTGTATAAGATCATGGCTGACCTGCACCTCAACTCCAATTACCCTCCCTTGCCGTGCATCCTTAATACCCTGACCTATCGAATATCTATCCACCTCAGTCTTGAAGATGTGAATGGACCCAACATCCACAACCTTTCAGTGGAGAGAGTTCAAGATTTCCGCTACCCTTTGGGTGAAAAACTGCTTCCTGACTTCACTCCTAGTGAATCTAATTTTAAGACTATGCTCCCTTGACCTGGATTCCCCTACCAGAGGAAAGAGTTTCTCTATCTCTGTATCTAGTTTCACATATATTTTGTGAAGCGCTTTAAGACGTTGGTGGTGGTTAATTGTCCCTCAAAAGACAGTGGATTGAATTGTTTGGGATGAATTATTACCCCTGGAAAGCGATCCGCCAATCGACTAACAACCAGGTTACTTACTGCTAGCTAAACATCTATAAATGCGGTAAGGAAACTTGTCTAAGGTTCTGCCCCACCCGCGAATTGAACCTGGGTCCTCTTGTTTGCGAGGCAAGCTCGCTAACCACTACGCTACCGGACTCCACAAACATAAAGCATAGAGAAAAAAGCATTGACATGGTTACCTTGCTGGAGGTGACCCTGGTGGCGTGGCTGCTGCAGTCTCTACAAGCCGGTGGTGCAGTAACAGGGCATCTTCAGTGCGGAAACTTTGATTACTGAGCCAGGCGAATTCTGCAGTCAGTAAGAAAGATAAATCAGTCGTGTTATTTGCCAGCCGTGCGTTTCTGAAAAGCCAGGTAGTATCTGATGGACCGAGTGAATCAGAGGAAATGTCACTGAAGTCGTTCATAACTGTCAACTCAACATACAGCAGTCAATGAAAACTTCATTCATCGCAGAGCTCTCTTTTGGTGCACTGCTGACAACAGTTGCTCGAACTATTCCAGCAGTGACATTTGAAATGAAAAGGTAACGACGTGTCTCTGTGTAGTCAAACGGTTTCTGTGCCCTCAGGGTGAAAGATAAACATACTGATCCCATCTGCAATGAAGATTGGCTTCCGGAATAAAAAGACAGCAATCACAAAATTATTTCATTGCAAGGCTCCACCTGAAATCAAGGTGTCCGTTCCACTGTTACCTCGATCACTACACTCGACAGCAATTACCTGTGAAGAGCCCTGAGCCATTTTGATACCATCAAATTTAAGGATTATTATTTCATCGTTCTCAGGCTCAACTGTGATGCACTCCCAACATAAAGTTTCAAGATCCGCCTCCACGTCTTTCAATCGCTTCATGCCCTGGCATCTCCCTTCCTCTCTGACCCTCTTACTCCCCTACCCACTGCCTCCGCTTGACTGGCTCTGGCCTCCTGCTTGTCCCTTGTGCCCTCCGATCCACCAGTGGTGGCCGCGCTTTCAGCCGCTATGCCCCAAGATTCTGGAACACTCTTACTCCATCCTTGCCCCTCTTTCCCCATCTTTAGATCGCGCCTGAAGACCTACAGTGCTTAGTCACCTTCCCCCTTCCCCCCAGCTCAGGGTTGTGCTCTGCCACTGTCAAGAACTTTGATATGCGTGTGAGGGGCGCTATATAAATGCAAGTATTAATGTTGTTATAAGATATCCAGGCGGCATCGGTCTGGGCTCACGTTTGCCATTGGGTAACTTGGCTGCTGGGAAAAGTACAGCAGCCACAGCACCTCAGCATGAATCACCCACAAAATACACAGTCTGTTTACTATTTACTATACAATGAATGCTTTGAAGTGCTTTGATTTTGGTAACGTGATAAGGCTCTTTGTCAAATGCAATGTTATTATTGTATAATCGCTTTGTGGCAACCCGCTTACAACCTTTGCTGAGAAGAGCTAATGAAACACAGACCAGAATGGTCCAAACCACTCTCTGAGCAGCTATCGAGAGCAGTAACGTCATTGCTACAACTGGCCTTTGTTTTTCAATCTGCACAGAGATAAAATAAAAACGCTGCCATTACCGATCCTGATCCACTGACCTCTGTGCTTCAGTGGATATCCAGCGATAGCAGGTTCAACTCAGCTGGGATGGCGCAGAATCAAACTGGAGTAATCTTCTAAGAATGCAATATAATAAAATAGCTCTTGTATATCCCTCAAACAAGGTTGAAATATCTCAAAGCACTTCACTGTAAATATAGTGAATGTATATTTGTAATATAATAGTAATAATGCTTGCATTTGATGTAGCAGCTTATTATATTGTCCAGACTTCTCAAAACGCTTCACAGGATATACTGTAAAGTGATTGACTGTCTATTTTGTGAGCGAATCACGACAGCCAGTTTGTAAACAGGAATGTCCACCGACAGCAAGCCATAGAGTGAGTGTCTGATTTTATTTGGGGATTGTTAGCCAGGACACTGGGAAACTCCTCTCCCTCTTCGAATAGTGCCATGGGATATTTAATATCCACCAGAACAGGGTGAGGGGACTGTAGTTTAACATCCCACCTGAACAATGTCATCTTCAATAATGCAACCCCCATCCTGGACTGCTTTGGTTGTCACCTTAGGCTATGCAATTCCAAGTCCTGATGTGGGGCTTGAACCCATAACCTTCAGATTCAGAAGTGAGAGTGCTACCATTGCATCAGGCTTATGCACAGATACTTTCAGAAAGGAAGATCTTGCATTTTTATAGCAGCTTATCATGCCAGAATGTCTGAAAGTAGCCCACAGATGATTGCTGTGAAGCGCAGTGACTTTTTTGTATGCAGACATAGCAGTGATTTTGCACGCAGTAAGATCTCACAAATAGTCGAGAAATGAATACCAATTTATCAGGTGATTGTTGGCCAGACTCTGGGAGGAACTCTCTTCTCTGTTGGAATAGTCCTGCAGGGTCTTTAACACTAACCTGACCAGCAGAAGGGACTTGGCTTTAATGTCTCTTTGAGTAGAAAGAAATCTCATGTCGGCTAAAACTACACATTTATTATGTAATCGTAGAATCATAGAATCGTACAGGACAAAAAGAGGCCATTCGGCCCATTGAATTTGTGCGGCTCTTTGAATAGAGCAATTGATGTCAATCCCACTGCCCAGCCCTTTCCCTATAACCCTGCAAACCCGTCCTCCTCAAATACCCGTCCACCGCGTTTTTAAAAGTAGTTATCGAATCGGCCTCCACCACCCTTTCAGGCGCTACATAAGATGCAAGGATTATTATTACCACATCTTCGAAGCATCTCAAAGCGCTTCACAGAATGTACCGTCAAGTAGAGCGACTGTATTTTGTGGGTGAAGCACAGCAGCCAACAACAACAACAATAACTTGGATTTATATAGCGTCCTGAACGCCGGACGTTGTCTCAGAGCGCTTCACAGTAACGGATCCCGGGGCCGAGCCAGAGGGAGGGAGAAGTAGGTGACCAAAGGCGCGGTCGAAGAGAGAGATCTTCAGCCGAGACCTGAAAATAGGAAGAGAGGGGCGAGGTGAAGGGGGTGAGAAAGGGAGTTCCAGAGCTTCGGGGAGTAGTGGCTGAAGGCACAGCCGATGATGGTGGAGCGCAGGATTTGGGGGACAAGGAGGCGGCCAGACCTGGTGGAGTGAAGGCAACAGGCACTGTTGTGAGGAGAGAGGAGGTCAGAGGTCTTGAAGTCAATCCTCTCTGGGACAGGCAGCCGGTGCAGTCTGGCCAGGACTGGGGGGATCGGGGAGTTTGGTGCGGGTAAGAATGCGGGCGGCAGAGTTCTGGATGACCTGGATTTTATGAATGCTAGTGGAGGGGAGACCGGCGAGGAGGGCGTTGGAATAGTCCAGCCGAGAGGAGCCGATTGCACACAGCCATGTTGCACAAACAGTCGTGGATTGAGTGACCCAATTATTAATATTAATTTATTTTACTGAAGTGATTATTACCCCTGGAAAGCAATTCAACAATCGACTCCTACTTACTGCGAGGTAAACCAAGGCGTGTGGAGTAAGGAAATTTGCCTAAGGTTTCGGTCGCCCTGCCCAGGAATCAAACCTGGGTCCTCTCGCTCATGAGGCAAGTGCACAAATCAGACTCTACCTCACCCCCCCACTCCCTACCCCCCATCCATCCCCACTCCCTACCACCCCCATCCATCCCCACTCCCTACCCACCCCCCACCCATCCCCACGCCCTACCCCGCCCCTACCCATCCCCACCCCCCTCCTCCCCACAACACCACCACCAACAAATTACATTCGTACCCTGCTATTTAAACACATTAGTGCCCGGTAGTTCAGGCACAATTCAAAAGGCTTCTCTCATAGGCAGAAATCAGTGCATGTTGTGGGCTGAAGGCGGTGTTATAACTGTTGCATTCGGTCTGGAGAGTAGGATGCTGCAGCCTGCAAACATCTCCGCATAGGCAATGGCATTCTCTTAATCGAGCAACCAAGAGGCACTTAAGTGATGTGAACTGATACCCTCTCCTCCTCCCCTCCACTCAAACCACCACTGTGCTCCACCTCCCAGGCAAACGCTGACAGAATTCACCACCTACTATTTGGCTTGGAAAAGCCCATGAGCAAACATGAGACAGGAACAGAGTGTCAACCCTCTCTCTCTCTCTCTCTGCTTCATGCTTAAGAATTTAAAATTGCAGCTGGCAAAAAAAAACCTAGCCGAGCTTTTTATTCTTTCCCCCTCCCTCAAGTGCGATTATTAATCCTTGTCTCATCCCAGAGAAGCAGAGGTCAAGTGCACCCCAGCCAGCCCAAAACAAAACAATAATAAATTGGTCATTTTCAATCTACGACTGTTTGTGGGACATTGCTGTGCGCAATTGGCTGCCGCGTTCGTCCAAAAATATACAGTCAATTCACTTTACAGTGTGTTCTGTGAAGCGCTTTGGGACGTCCTCCCGACGTGAAAAGCGCTGTATCAAATGCAAGGAATAAATATTATTATTATTGTAGAACTGGGATTGACTCTTATCTAATCCAGAAAGCATTGGACCCGGTTTGGCAGGAGCCAAGGCTTGGGGAGCTTATCCCCAATACGTTCCTCTCTCTGCGACCTCCCCCAACTTCAGTCTCTTCTGCTCACCTTTTCCCGTTCTTGGCTAATCTGCTATCCTGCTCCGTCCCACCATTGCCAACCAACCTCCACCTCCGCTCTCCCCCTCCCAACTCCCCTATGGCCTCACCCCTTCCCCCCCATTACCTCACCCACCTCCCTCACCTCCTTCCACTCTGCCTCACCCTCCAACCCCATCTCGCCCCTCCACCTCGCCTCGCCCCTCCGCCTCGCCCCTCCGCCTCGCCTCGCCCCTCCGCCTCGCCTCGCCATCGCCTCACCCCTCCGCCTCGCCTCGCCCCTCCGCCTCGCCCCTCCGCCTCGCCTCGCCCCTCCGCCTCGCCTCGCCCCTCCGCCTCGCCATCGCCTCACCCCTCCGCCTCGCCTCGCCCTTCCGCCTCACCTCGCCCCTCCGCCTCGCCTCGCCCTCCATCTCCTCGCCCCTCGCCTGCCTCGCCCCTCCGCCTCGCCTCGCCCCTCCGCCTCGCCTCGCCCCTCCATCGCCTCGCCCCTCCATCGCCTCGCCCCTCCGCCTCGCCCCTCCATCGCCTCGCCCCTCCATCGCCTCGCCCCTCCGCCTCTCCTCGCCCCTCCGCCTCGCCCCTTACACCTCAGCAAGCACACCAAATGACATTTGCGTAGCGCCCTGCACGTGGGCGGGATGCCACAGTCGCCTTGTCTTCAACAGCCCGCGGTCACCCCCGCCTTCCCCCCACACTGAAGCTGTCAGCTCAAGGTCCCGATCCGAGGCTTAAACCCGTAGCTCGGTGGTCGGAGCGCTCGCCTCCCAAGCGAGGGGACCTGGGTTCAATCCCCGGGCCGGGGGAGTAACGGTGGGCACGTTTCCTTCCTCCACGCGGGCGGCTCTGTTTACCTGCAGTAAAAGTTAGGATCGCTTTGCCCGGGGCAGTTTTTTAAAAAAAAATAAATAAAACCGGCTGCTGCGTTTCGCCCACAAACTAACAGTCACTACGCTTTGCAGTGTACCCGGTGAAGCGCTGTGAGACGTCGCGCAGACGCGATAAGGCGCTGTATCAAACGCCAGGATTATTACTGTTGTTGTTGCTGTCATTGTTGTTATTATTAACCCTCTGGCCCACAGAGCGGCCTCCGGCCCGCGGGCCGCCCGCGAGCCTTTTTTGCGTTCACACGAGCTATTAGCGCTGCACCTCGTTTTTAACTAACGGCATTATTTTTATAATTATTATTATTATTAGTGCCAAATGTACCTCTGCGGCCTCTCTCATCCGCGCTTTTCCTGTCAGCGAAGGCCGGGAACAGCGACCCCGAACCCGGCTCCATCCCGCAGGCCTCGGGCCCGGCAACCGCCGCGCGTCACGTGGGGGGGGGGGGGGGGGCGAGCTGCGCTGTGCATGCTGGGACTTGTAGTTCACCGCCGGTGATGGCGGCGGGTGTGGGTAGGTGAGGGGCGCGGTGCTTCCTGGGACTTGTAGTCCTGGCCAGGCAGCCACCTTCACTGTTCAAGGATAATCCACTGAGCATTGGATAGGGCCATATTGGGAAAAGTGCTTCACAGGGAATTTTGCTGCCAAGAGACCCCGTAACGCATTGGTTCGAGCACTCACCTCGCAAGCGAGAGGACCCGGGTTCAATTCCCGGGTGGCACAAACCTGGGAAAGTTTCCTTACTCCACGCGCCGCTGTTAAAGCGCTGTATCAAATAAGGCGCTATATCAAATGTAAGGATTGTTATTATTTAAGACCAGTGACAGACAAAGGTGGGAAACCCAATTTTCCGCCGCAGGGCCACACAAATAAGCAGGAAAAAAATGACCAATTAATCCGGAAGGTTAACAACAACAACAAAATTACATTTGTAAAGCCACCTTTCACGTCGGGAGGACGTCCCAAGGCGCTGGACAGACAGAGTTATGGACCCAAGCTGGGGATAGGGGTGGGGGACAGTGGAGGGCAGGGGGGGAAGCAGAGAGATTGAAAGTACGGCCAAAGAGAAGGGTCTTGAGATGGGTCTTCAAGATGGCAAGGGAGGGACGAGATGCAGGGACTGCGGGATGGAGTTCCAGAGGGTGGGGGCAGAGTGAAAGGTCCACCCACCAATAGTGGGGCGAGCAAAGTGGGGGCCGTAAAGCAGGCCAAGCCCGCTGAGCGGAGAGAGCCAATACGGAGTTAGGAGGTTGCAGAGGTAGGGCCTCGATGTAATGAAGGCGTGCGTGCATGAGGGTTTCAGCGGCCTGTGGTGTCAGACAGTGCCAGAGCCAGGCAACGTTGCGGAGGTAGGGGAAGGCAGAGCAGGTCATGGCACAGATGTGGGGTAGAAAGGATAGTCGAAAGTTAAACAAGACGCCAAGGTTCCGGACTGGCTTAGCAAGATGGAGTGGGCAGCCATCGATGGTGATGCTGTGAGCGCCTGAGGTGAGGAGGCACTGACGGGAGCCAATCAGGAGAGCCTCGGTCTTGTTGATGTTCAACTGAAGAAAGTTCGGTCAGGACAACAGTGGGTCCTGGAGTCAAAGGGTAGAGGCAGAGAGGTAGAGTTGGGTGTCATCCGCATACATGTGGAAGTTGACCCCATGTCACCAAGCGGGAACATATAGATAGTGAAGAGGAGGGGACCAAGGAAAGAGCCCTGAAGAATGCCGCACAAGATGGTCCAGGGGCTAGAGAAGAAGCCATTTGAGGAGTTGAATTGCAGGCTGTATGAGTGGTACGATCTGAACCGGTCAAGGACAGTTGAGGTGAGAGGAGAGGCGGTGAATGAGGATAGAGTGGTCGACGCTGTCAAAAGCAGCAGAGAGGTCAAGGAGGTTGAGGATGCAGAGGGAGCCCTGGTCTCAGATGGATAAAATGTCATTTGTCACTTTGACCAGGCAGTTTCTGTGCTGTGGGCAGCACGGAAACCCAATTGGAGGGGTTCGAGAAGGGAGTGGTGGGAGAGGAAGGAGCGAAGTTGAGAAGCAACAACTCGTTCCAGAACCTTGGAGAGGAAAGGGAGGTTGGAGATGGGGCGATAGTTTGGGAGTAGGGAAGGGTCCAAGGAGGATTTTTTAAGGATAGGAGTGATGACAACGGTTTTTAATGGGGCGGGAACAGCACCAGAGGACAGGGAGAGGTTTACGATGTCAGTGAGTAGGGGGGCAAGGAGGTGGAGCTGGGAGGTAAAGAGAGAGTAGGGATGGGGTCCAGGGAGCAGGTTTCATACAGATTATGGTGGTGATAAGAGAGGAGGGGGAGACAGGTTCAAAGGTGTAGAGGGAGGAATGGGTAGGGGCCGGGGAGGGAGGAAGAGATGGGGAGTGGATAGCAGATGCAGTGGCAGAGGCAGCTGAGCGGATTCCCTTGACTTTGGATTCGAGGAAGTCTCCAGCATCGCCTCGCAGTTGGCATTTGAGGTGAGGATGGGTGAGGTGAGAGAGGGTGGGCAGAAGAGTTGGTTCGTAATGGAGAAGAGGAGCCTGAGGTTGTCCTTGACCTCCAAGATTGTCTTGAAGTAGAACGACGATTTAGCGGAGGCGAGGGCAGAGCGGTAGGATTTGACATGGTCTAGACAGATCTGCCGATGGACAGCTAGGTTTGATTGAAGCCGGGAGCGCTCAGCGGAACACGCTTGGGCTTTAAGGGAGCGGAGGTGGCTGGTGTACCAAGGTGATTTGCGTGAGTAGGAGACGGTTCAGGAAGAGAGGGGAGCGAGGGAATCGAGAGTGGAGGAGAGAGAGCTGTGGAGAAAAGTGATCAAGGAGGATAGGTCATTGCAGGTGGACTCCCAGAGGGGAAGGAGTTCAGATGACTCCAAGGCAGCTGAGAAGGATGGGGGGGGGAAATTTTTTCCAGGGGAGGTGTGAGATGGAGGTGGGTTGGATGGCGGTGGGGAGAGGGATTAAGAAGTTAAGGGAGATGAAGTGATGGTCCAAGATCGCTTTGTTGATGATGATGATCTCGCTTTGTCCGAGATGGTGAGGCCCCGAGTGATCACCAGGTTGAGGGGGTGACCGTGGACGTGGGTAGCAGAGTGGATGTGGGGAGAGAGAGATAAGGGAGGAAAAGTCAGCAGAGGTAGAGCAGGAGGAGGTAAAGTCAAGGTTGAATTCACTAAGGACAAGAAGGCGTTCAGAGCAGAGGGAGAGGGAAGATAGGAGGGTGAAGATGTTGGGGATGAAGGTGGGGGCGATAGATCAGAAGAATTTTGAGGGTAAGGTTGGAGGGGTAGAGTGCTCAAAAGAGGGAAAAGTTTCAGGTTAATGGCCAGAAATACACCCTTTTCTCTATTCCGACAGTCTTTAAAGTCTTTTAATTGAACATCCAGACTTAATATACTACAATTTACATTTAGATAGTGACTTTCCCATCGGGAGGATCTCCCATCATTAGGACAGCATCTCCAGCAAAGCAGCTTTGCCACCCAGCACTGAGATGGAGTGTCAGCCTCGACTGTATTGTCAGGGTCCCGACGAAGTTATGGAACAGCCTTCTGACCCAGCGAGTGTGACTGACCGAGCCAGGCTGGCGACTGGAGGTCACAGTATATTCTGTTATCCTATGCGAAGGGCGGTGTGTAAATGCAAGTCGTTTATTGATATATAGTCATATCTTTAATTCTCATTTGTCAAGCATATTCTATGGCATGTCCTCTCGAGGTGAAAGGGACTATACAAATGTAATTTGTTGTTGTTTCCCCCCACCCCACCCCACTTCCTCAGCCAATCCCTCCCAACCCCCAGCTTGGGCTCCCAGAATTGTTGTGCTTGTGAAAGACATGATAGTTGCTGCGTTACATCTAATCTAATCTAACTGCTTTCTTTCTTTAGAGCCGAGATCCTCAGTGTGAAGAACCTTTGCCCCTCTTGCACTCCAGGGGACGTCCTCCCGACATGAAAGGCGCTATACAAATGTAATTTTGTTGTTGTTGTTGAGTGACCAACTCATTGAAAATCTTTCAACTGCAGAGGACATTGTTTCCTCATGCCTCTCACAAGTTAACAAGCAGCTGCCCACACTTTAATCTTTCACTCTTAATCTTTCATCATCCATCAGCATTCTTGGCCTCGCTCCCTCCCCTGATCTCAAGTGAAACTCTCACTTCTCAATTGCTAAAGCAATCTGCAAGATTTTTCTCTCTCTCGTGCCAAACACTTTTCTTCGCCACTGCTGCAGGATTAATTCTCTACGCAGCCAGTTCATAGAATACAAGAACGTTATACCTTTCGCACTCCTGAAGAGATTACAAGAAAATTCTTGTTCAATATATGAAACCAAAATTTGGTCACTCACATTGCTTTTTGTAGGTCATTCCTGTCCACAAACTGGCTGCCCCCTTAGCACACAAAATACACACAGTCCAGGCATTTGGTCACACTCTACAATATATCCTGTGAAGTGCTTGAGTCGTCTCAACACAACGTGAAAAGGCACTATATCAAACGCAAGGATTATTATTATTTGATACAGTGCCTTTCACCTCGGGAGGATGTTTCAAAGTGCTTCACAGGATTGACAGTAAAGTAAATGTAAAGACCTGAGTACTTTATAGGTGTAAGCGACAGCCAGTTTGTGCACACAGCATTGTACACCACATGATCTCTGTTCTCTTGTGTAGCTGTTTGGAAACTGGATCTTTGACACAAAACCACGTGAGCATCCAGGCCGGCCTTGTTTCTGCAACAATGCAAAAGCTTAAACTGCTTACTGTAGAGCGTTAAAGGAAAACCCCTCCAGCACTGTGAATAACCTCTCTGTCAAAAGCTACTTCCTTGGAGTAATCTTGAATGCACTTGCCGAGCATTCCCGACCTGCATTGAGTTTGCTGATCTTAGCCAGGACAGCAGTTGAGGCTCTGTGTTTGTCCCTCCTGTTTGTTCCTGATGTCCTCCCTTTCATTATCGGTGGCTGTCCCTTCAGCCACTATGCACCGAATCTGTGGAACTCTCTCCCTCAATCCCTCCGCCCTGACTCCTCTCTCTCCACCTTCAAATCCCACCTACCTAAAGACCCTCCTTTTTGATTGTCACCCCCCCTCTCCCGCTCTCTCCCCTGGCTCGTTGTCAGACTCCATCACTGTGAAGTGCTTCAGGACACTATCCCGCGTGAAGAGGGATGCAGTTAAATGCAAGTTGTTGTTGGATTTGGCTGTATTTGGCCTCACCATTCCAAGCTTAAGGAGAAGAAGTCAACCGGAGCCCCCACTATAGATCACTGTCCATTATACAAAAAAANGTAGTCACGCACAACTTTTTGTGGGAAACTGCTGTGCGCAATTAGCTGCCGCCTTCCTCCCACAAAATATACAGTCCATTCACCTTACAGTATATTCTGCGAAGCGCTTCGAGACGTCTCGAAGACGTGATAAGGCACTGAA